ATCCGCGTGTACCACGCATCCGTCCGGTCAGTACTCTTTTATGCATGTGAATGCTGGGCTTTGCGCGTCGAAGATGAGGAAAGCCTAGAGGTATTTAACAACCGCTCCTGAGGACCATCTTTTTAGTTAATTATGTCGACTTTATTTCAAACAAGACAGCCTGCAATCACTGCGACAGTATCGCGGGGATACCTCCGACTCTCCAAGAAAGACGACTGAGGTGGTTTGGGCACGTTCTCCGTCGTCCGCCTCACGAGCTTTGCTAAGCTGCCCTCGATCTTGCGCCGCAGCCCATATGGAGGGGTCGAAGAGGAACACAACTCAAGACTTGGCTCGACACCATTTGTCAAGAAACGGAAGCGGTTTTTGGACCGTCGGTGTTCAATCTCCATCGCCAGAGAAGAGAATGGGTGGAGTTTTTCATGCCCATTGCCCCTAATCTTCTCACGCGTGGAGAGGTACCGTCCGTAACATCAGCGAACTGATTAAATTCGTTAACCGAGGTTCTACTGTATAAAAACTACATGTCTGCGTATATTGCCTTCATCGCCCCCGGAAGAGCAAGAAGAAGATGGGGTAATTTCCGGGACCAAGTTATACTTAAGCTGACGTTTCGATAAAATTATCATTCTCATTGTCAGAGCGTGGTGTTCACCGCGATAATGCTTTCGAAACGTCAATCTAAATATAACCTGGTCCCAGGAATTGCCCCCTCTTCTGGGGAGGATGAGGGTAATAAACGCAAATATACGTATATGTATATACAGTAGAAGCACGGTAAACGAATTTAATCAGTTAATGTTATACCTGGACTTCGAATCTCTGCGAATAATTGCGTATCTATTGTCCGCAAAGCGACTTAATTATGAGGATGATTATCGCACAGCACGACTAAAAACCTAATAATTGAGTGGTGGCTGGCGGTGGGGGTGACGGTGGCAGCAAGAAAGATAGGCACTTAATAAATACAGAGAAACACTGATGGACAGCAAAAGGTGGTTGCACAAACCCGTTTGGAATCTGTCGAAGATTGCGTTAACCACATCGATGAGCATTTGGAAGTACCAGTGCGGGGAGGCAAGAACGGCGGAACGGAAAATATGCAGATAATTTGTCAGTAATTGAGTTTCCAAGATGATGGCTTTGCTCAAATCCTGCAATTCCATATCCTGCAATTGTAGAGACGAAAAAAACTATAGACTGGGAAAGTATATGCGCAGACAAGATTTGCTGCTCTAAAAAAGGAGAAAATTCGGCTTAAGTAATCACTAAACCTCATTCACCAGTCAATCGCTAGCCCAAGGAACAGACTATCAGACATACTTGTTATACGACTCGTGCTAAGCGAATTATCATGTGCATTACTATTTTGACCAACCAACAACTGGTCGCTTTTCGCCTGCAAGCATGTAATTGACGTTTTTCAATTTTTCTTTTATACCCACACAGTACCTAGCAATTTTCTTACCAATAGGGAGCGCCAAGGCGTTCCCCTATCTTTCCCTCAATAAACGGATACTGATACTGAATACCCATTACTGAATTGAGCTTGATAGTCGTCTTGGCTGATTGCTTTGGAAATTCTACTTGGACGGATAGCATGACCCAAATATAATTTGACTCATTGTGCGACCTCGTAGCTCAGATAGTGAGGGTGTTGGCTGCAATCAAGCTGTTGTTGGTTCGAATCCCCCGCAAACGCCGCAGTTTTTTTCGCAACTGGGTGAAATAAATCATGCAAATTTGCCAAAAGCATTTGCTGATGTCAAAACTACTTATGCCTGCATATTGGCGAAGATGAATTGTTCTAACTAGAAAAGGACGAAGTCTGTCAGTCGATCGATCATCCATAACACGCATGCCTGCTGAAGAAATGACAATCAGCCAAGTTTCAAACTCTGAGTCAGTTGATTGGGAATGCCGTTCCTTCTTCTGTCTTGCATACCACACAATAAGCCGGGTCAAAAATCAAGATAAATGTTTTAGACAAACAGTAAAAATAACAAAAAGACTATATGAGAGGTTACAGGCGCAAGCAGGCCAACGAACGCTGTGCGCACCGACTGGCTTATTGGCAATCAATGAACTCGACGACACCCTCATCCTTGCACGGATTTGGCTAGTAAACAAGTTTCAAACCTATGGTTCACGGTCGAAGGCCTATACAGCCTTTGCTTTTAATGGTTTCAATGTTGGTCAGCATAATGCCCAAAGGCGGTAATTGTGAGCCGAATTTCGATCACATAGGCCACACGAGCGACGCACCCTAAGAGGACTTATCTGAGCTCTTCTTGCACCTACATATGTCATTAGTCACGAGGGTAAATAAGTAAATTACTTTTCACAATTCAGTATATATGTGATTTGCAAAATGTGATTGAAGCATCTCAGACGGGGAGTGAAAGGGGTGTATGTAGTTAGAGCGGTGCGTTCATAACCCACCATACAGTAATTCAGATGATGGAGGGCAAGCATTGCCGGCAAAGAGAAGGAAAACCGGATGGCCATCTATGGCTCATTTGCCGTCATTAGCCAGTCATACCCATCTTCAAGTAGTGCCCCACCCGAGGCTAGCCTAACGCTCTGACCGCTGAGCCAAGGGTTTGTTGTCTTCCCGGTTTAAATCGGAAAAGATTGACACTCGTTGAGGAAGGTTCACCGATCGTTAGCGGAACTCATTCTATAGCCCTGTCGGCAGCAGCACAGCCGCTAGTAGTCCAGGCAGATGGCATGGGTTAGGGCATTAGACTTTTGAGCAAAAGATCGCGGGTTCGAGCCCCGCGTGGGGCGCCACTTGCGGTTGGGTATGATTGGCTGATAACGGTTTATGAGCCAGAAATGACCTTTCAAGTCGCCCTTGTCTTTGCCGGCAATGCTATCTGTCTAGACAACCAGCCGCCGTGCAACTGCTGGTAAGGCTGGAGAATGAACCCAAGGAAGAGCCGGAAGAGTGAGTTCCGTTAATTATCAGTAAACCTTGATCAACGAAAGTAACTATTACTTTGCAGAAAGTCTGATTAAAGTAACAGAAGCTGCCTACTGGTGTCACCGTTCTCCAGCGACTACGCAGATAAATCCAAGCGCAAAAACCAAGATAATCATTTTCGTTTATTTCTGTTGTCTCTACACCAATCTGAGACACTGCATGTTTACAAAAGAACCACAAAATTATCAGCGTAGCAAAGAACTTAAAGCACGGATCACGGCCATTTGTGCCAGAGTGTGTTGAATTATTTCTTCTATCGTGAAGTTAAACGGAGAAAAGGCTATCCTAACCGGCGTCAGACGAAACTGCAAGTTGCTGTAGGCACGGACTTTTATCCTTAATGTGGAATACTCGGCTCCAAACGGTCGATAACATTTAAGCAGTCTACCATCATGCAGCATGATCAGCCACAGCTAGTCGAAGTGGAAAGTGTTAAAAGCAAAGGTCAAATCC